TGTACTCTTGGTATAATATTTCTCACTCTGCCATGTGCTTATTGTTGTTTACCAATTTTCAGGAAATAATGCAAATCAGAAATAGCTTTCGGAAAGTCTTAGATGCAGGGCTGCGGAATATACACACAGCATTTTTATGATATTTTTCTATGTAAATATCGGTCTTTTGGATCAATATATTTTGTAATAAAAATAGAAACTGCAATGATTATTTTTGTACCTTTATTTAAATATTACTTCCGCTCGCGTTATTTGATTTGTTTAAGAATTGGCCAGAGGTAACCTCGATTACTGGTCATCACGATACTTAACCCTTAGGTACGGGGAGCGGGTCGTGACAATTTTAGCCCGGAGCTGAAAGTTTGTTTGGTTTTGCTTTGATTTTTATGAGAAAAAAAATAAAATGATTACGATTTAGATGTGACATTTTGTCTTATTAACTTATTTAGTTTATTTTATCTTTTGTATTTTTTTTAGCCAAAAAGTTCTAGCCAAACAATTCCTTAACTTTTTGTACTTTTTTAGTGCCAACTAAAATTGACTTTGATTTTTGTATTTTTTGTTAACAGCTCTTAAATTTGTGATTTGTAGAATCTTATAGCATACAAGTTCTATCTCATCAGGTTGTACTCGAATTATTACGAAAATATTTTAATTTTTAATATTTTATCCACACTCAAATGGCCCAAATAATATAATATAAATATATATAAAAAATATTTTTTATTCATCATAATTTGACTTTGTTTGGAAAGTTAGTTATTTTAGTTAGTTATTTAACTTTTTGACTATTTTAACCGAATTAAAAAAGTTGTATTTAGAAAGTTAGTTAAATTTTTTTTTTTTGTAATTGATTGAATAATTGTAAGAGAAAAAGTAACATAATTATGTGCCTGTTTGGCAGAAATTATAATCAGCTTATTTCAGCTTTCAGCTTAATTTAAGGTATTTTGATGTGTTTGATTTAGCTTATAACTTTTTGAAAATCAGAAATGAGCTTATTCTTTGAGTAGGGCAGGAGATGCTTTAAGAATAAGTCAGAAATCAGCTTATGTTCATAGTTATAAGTTATAAACTGTTTAGATATAAGCTATAAACACTTTCTCACAGTTCTACCAAACAGGACTTATATGTTAGATGTAACATTTTTTCTTTTTAATTATTTTAACTTATTTTATATTTTATTAAGTTATTTTAATTTAATCATCTTTTCAAATACGACATTTGTGAGATGCATTTGTGAAGTTCACAATCATTGTGAAAATGGAATATTTAAGATTATACTTTTAATTAATGCCAGTAACACAGTTGTTTTTGTTTTTGTTTTTGTTTTTGTTTTTTTTTTTTGTTTTTTGTTTTTTTTTTAACGTAGAGAAAAAGATATTTTGAGATGTCATCACTGCATCTATCTTTGTGAATATAAAATATTTAAGGTTATACTTTTAATTAATGTCGGTAACACAATTTTTTCTTTTTTTTGAATGTAGAGAAAAAAATACTTTGAGATGTCATTCCTACATCCAATCTTTGTGAATATGGAATATTTAAGGTTATACTTTTAATTAATGTCGGTAACACAGTTAGTTTTTTTTTTTTTTTTTTGAACGTAGAGAAAAGAATGTTTTGATTTATCATCACTATATTTGTGAACCCAGACCCCGCAAAACTCAACCATATGTTACAGACAAACCCAAGATTTGATCGGAATATAGAACGAGATCTCCATAAAAAAACCATTAAGAGGTTGTTTGTGGTGTCCTAAATAAGTGTATTTATTATCTTTTTAGACTAAAAAATTGAGGAAAAAAATATGGATATTTGGGTTAACTTTTTGACTTTTTATGAAAAAATATGTATTAAAAAATTATATAAATTAGTGTGTAGGAAAAAATTAGGATTAAAAGTTATGCAGCCGTAATTTTTAAATTTTGATGAATAATGATATTTTTTTAACTTTTTAACAATTTATCAAACCTGACCTAAAATTTTCTAATATTTCGCTTTCCCAAAAGTTAAACCTGGGTCACATCTAAAAAAAAAATAAAAAAAAAATAAAAATTAATAATAATGTCTACTTTACTAAACCACCACCCCTATGGCCGGTAACACAGTTGAAACCATAAATAATAGTGGTAGGTGAGAGTTGAGAAGTATCTTCTTATTAAAGGGTCCCAGTAGCATAAAACCTAAGTGAGTGTACAAATATCTCTGTATCTAATCAAATTAAGAGCGTGCAAAAAGGTGGGTGGGAGTTGATGGACAAGCAGCACAAATGGCAAATTTTCTTCAATCTTGACCGTTGAGGCCCATCGGCAACACCCCCAAAAAAGGAAAAAAAGCCACCTCTTTTTTAAATTGTAACAATTTTTTTTATACTTTCTAAGTCTGTTTTGTCGAGAAAAATTTAAAAAGTATGTGTTTTTTAAAAAAATTATCAAAAATAAGTCCGAAAAAATTTACTTATTTTTTGTACTTTTTAGATATTTTTAAAAACATTATAATTTTTTGATTCATCTTGCCCAACTAAATTTAAAAACTTGAAAAATTTTAAAAAACTTTTACTTAAAACGAAAATAAAATAAATAAATAAAAATATACTTTTCAAAACACCGCTAAATGTCGACAAGCAAGAGTACTTTTCATGGGCCTCGAACTGGTGTTGCTGGGCCCTTTAATGATGAATCCCCAAAGTTTGGGCTGGGCCCGCCATCAAGGTGCATGACGCTGGGGAATTCTATTTGCATCTAAAAAATATTTAAATAAATCTAATTTTTTAGTACACTTTATTGAATTATTTAGGATTATAATTTATTTTCAGTATATATTTTTTTCCCCTTCAAATTACTTCTTTGAGGTACACTCTAATAAAATAAATTAAAAATTGAAATTATTTTTGAAAAAGCCTTTTAAACATTTTTTCTGCAACCAAACAAAATGAAAATTTTTACAAAATTAGGGAGGGAGAGAATTAACTTACCAATACAGAGAAATAAAGAGAGATCGTTAACTACTAAAGTGAAACTAATAAGGATTTGGAGATGAGAACAAACGTGAGAGCAACGATATATACAAATATATATATATATCTATATAATAAGACAGCTCAATTTTTTTTCCTTGATGGGACTTCTGTCCCTTTGTCAAATTATAAACCATTGGATTGAACTTAATCCAAGGGTTCACAGTCTTACACCCTCCATTTTCAACCCACGCCCTCTCTCTCTCTCTCACACTCTCATCTCTTTTTCTCTAATTTCAAATTTTGAAATCAGACCCCCATTCTCTCTCTCTCTCCATTAGTCTCTTCCCTCTCTCCGCTATCCTAATCGTCATCTTCTCTCTTCCGGAGATGGGAGATTCACAGATTCGGAGATGAGAGCCACCGTATGTATAGATATGCATTTGTGTGTATTATATACACAATTTTATTCACAAATTCGGAGGAAGATGAGAGCCCTAGCCTCCAAGATATACTCTGGATTGAGAGCTCAGGGCAATTACAACCTACCCAAGCAGTGTGACAACAGCGAGGTCTTGAAAGCTCTCTGCTCCGAAGCTGGTTGGACAGTCGAACCCGATGGCAATTACAACCTACCCGATGGCACTGTGACAACAACGAGGTCTCTCTCTCTCTCTCTCTCTCTACATGTCTTTCTTCAATTTTTTCTGCTTGGTTATATAGATCTATAGTTCTTGACAGCGGGTTTTTCATATCTAGATCATAATTGTTGTTCTTTATCATCATCTATTGTTTGGAGGTTGTTAATTCTGGGAATTAATGAGTGCCATGCTGATATTCTTTTGGGGTTTTGTTGTTTTTTAGCTGGGTAGAAGAATGTTTAAATGCTCTGTCATCATCTTCTTCTCTCTTCGATTTTGTTTTTATTCTTCCGAAATTTTTGCCATCAATTGGAACTAGCTCAGCTTAATTAGCAGTTTGTGATCTTTGGGTGTTTTTTTCAAACTTTTCATTGTGTTGTTTTCTAAAACATGAAAGATGAAAGCTGAAAGCAAAAACGGAACTAAACAGCGGAAGCTTGAAGCACCAATGTTTTTCATTTTACTTTGTGATTGCTTATCATCTTCATGTGTTTTGATCATACAAAAATAAAGTCACAAATTTTGAGGTCTGATTGATATAGGGTGGGAGAGATGATCATATCTTATTATGATCAACTTTTGCAGCTCAATCAATTGCATTTTTCATCCATACGTATGTGGATCGGATCGGGTAAAGTGATTTGGACGGGTTGAATAATCTTATGTCCGGACTTAGTGAATGATAATTTACAGTTTACTATATCTATACAATATAATATAAGAATAATGCTTGGGACTCCCTTTTGGGGGTCACCCCCTCACCCCCCTTTGCCATGTGACAGGTGGTGATTGGAGGAGCAGGAAAAAAAAGAAAAAGAAAAAGAAAAGGTAACCAATGTGAGAGAGAGGGGTCAAAGGGGTGGAAGAAAAGGGGATGAATCATTACTCATAATATAAACATGAAAAATGTTGAAAGGACAGAAACAGATTATTATGACTGATGAGAGAATATGTTAAAATAATGTGGCAGAAGAATCTGATCAAAATATTTAAAAAATAGATTGTACTAGAAAGGAATCCACCATGTCATCATCAAAATAACTGGACTATAATGTTTAATATATCATAGTGTAAAATTATTTTTCTCTTTTCCTTGCTAAAAGACACAACTAGCCAGTGCTTCCCGTGACTTTACCCTGCAATAAAAGGAGTCAAGAGCCTCTCCTTGCAAGCTTGTGCTTGCGTCCGTCCTTGCAGGCCTTCGGGTCTATTTTTAGGTCCAATTTTGATAATCCGAACCGTTTATATTTTATGATTTATTCAGTATATCATACCTGTAAAAAATCAAGTTGATCGGATATCAGAAAGAGACAGTGCTTCATCATCACTACCCTGCAATAAAAGATAAAATCATGGCTTTGCATCATCATTACTACCCATCATAGATTAAAGACAAGATTTGAGAAGAGTGGAAGTAGTGGGGGAAGGGTGAGTCACAAAATGCCAAGTTCAGATTCATTTTTGAGGCAGTTAAGTGGAAGAGAGGGTTGGAAATCAACATCCAAGAGGTGGGGTACTGGTGGTGGTTTGAAGCAAATGGAAGGGCTGAACATGTATTATGGGAATGGTGGTGGAGGTGATCAGAATGGTGGTGGTGGTGGTATGATGATGAGGAAGAGAGTGATGGTGGTGGTGGATCAGAGCTCACATTCAAAGCATGCAATGATGTGGGCACTCACACATGTCACCAACAAGGGTGATCTCCTCACTCTCCTTCACATTATCCCCCCTCCTTCCTCTGAGAGGCCTTCTGACTCCTCCTCCTCCTCCACCTCTCCTTACCTTGCTAGCTCTCTTGGCTCTCTTTGCAAGGCTTGTAAACCTGAGGTATGCATATACATACATACATACAAACATACATACATACATACATACATATATTTGTTCACTTTCAAGCTTACAATCTTCAACTAGATATATTCATGTTTGTTCACTTTCAAGCTCATAATCAAATGGATCTATCTATACATGCTTTTATATACATATGCATATATTGGTGGTTAACTGGGATCAACATAAACCACACTTAGAGAAATGGCTCAAATGGGTCTTTTCTTTTCTTTTGATTTGATAGATCTAAATCTAATTTGTTTACAGGGAGACAAAGAGGGGGAGGTCTTCTCATATTTTTTATTTTTTTGATTCCTAGGTCCTATTCTTTCTACTTTTGTTTAAAATTTTTCAGTGTTCTGTGAGGGAGTGAAATCAGAAGTTTTTCTTTATTTATTTGAGTCTTGCTTTTTTGCCGCTCTTTTTTTTTTTCACTGGTAAAAGAGAGAAACATGTATCCTCTGTTTTCATTGTCATCTTTTTCAGTATTTTCTTTTCTAGAGGACGGACGTGAGCCTTTTCATTGTCATCTTTTTCAGTATTGTCTCCATAGATATCATTTTCATTTGATTTTTTGTATGTTGAATTTGATTGATAGCAACAAAAAAGATTTAATTTAATTTTTTTATTTTTATTTTTATATAGGTGGAAGTAGAAGCATTGGTGATACGAAGTCCAAACTTGAACTTGGGCTTTTTGTACAAGAAAAGCAATTGTCAAAATTGACCTGACCAACTTTGGTCAATTTGATAGAAATAAAGTCATTTTCATTCATTTTTTATTTTTGCAATCTCATTGATTAGAAGTACTATATGTATATACTTTTATGGCATTCGAAGAACATTCAATAATTTTTCAAGTATGATTTAATTATTATTTAATGTTACAAGTCTATTGGACGAATTAATTTTTTTGTACAAATTTCTTTTCCTTTTCCTTATTGTGATTTAAAATTTATTTTTCAATTGTCAGTGCTGAATTTATCTGTGAATAGAATTAGTAATAAACTTATTTTTCCCCTACAAATTTGGATACTTTGTTTTTTGTCATCCCACCATCCCCACCATCACTCTCTGTCAAATCAAATGGGGGTTAAAGGAAGAAATTGGTTTCATGTTAATACCCATTTTTATTTCATATTAGTTAAATGGGTTGAGGATTGTTAACATTAAATGGGCTAATGTGAACATTAAGGTTAACTTGACTGTTAACATTAAGTTGAAAATATTTTTGTTAACATTAAATTGGTTTCATGGTCATATTTTTTATTCACAGTTTCTAATTAATGTTAATTAGAACATTATTTTTGGTATTTATTGAATACTTTTGTATTTACTTAAGCTTTATCTAGAACATTATTTAGTGGTGATTTGCAGAATGATGATGAATTGGTACACAGCAGATGTGAGCAGTGGTTTTGTTTTGGGATAATGTTCTTATACTTTTTTATTATTATTATTATTTTGAGAGTGCTCTCCCAAATTTTGGATTTGGTGCTCCTTCATTTCTAAAAGATATATTTTGTTTATGGTGATTCTTTTGAATATATTTATATATTTTTTGTTATTTTTTGGTATATATATAAGAATGTTTCAGTTGCAGTAACAGTGCTTCAAAGTTGAAAATCACTTCTAGATTAATTGCTTTATTTACATTTTATGGTAATTTGTATATGAAGCATTGTGTTTGTGGTCAGAGCTTGTGGAAGAAGTGAAACTTCTTAACAACCTTTCGCATCTGAACATTGTGGTAAGTATCTGATTTGCATTCTTACTAAAGCATTTTAACATTTCCTTTTGTTGGTCATCCCTTAGAAAACAATTCAAATATCTTTCTGTGCCTATCCATAAATTCTTCAAAAGGTAAGGTATAACTTCCAATTTTTTGTTGTAATAATAACATTCTAATGATTGTTCAAATATAAGTGATGATCCTCGCCACCATACATAGAACTTTAAATCCAAATGAAATTCTAATTTTTCAAGGCAATTAAAATCCATTGGGGTTCCCGTTTTATAATTTGTTGTGGTATTGCTTTATTTTCACTTAAAATCCATTGGCTTTGGTCTGGTTTCCTTTGCTTATATAGAGTTCTGAGCCATTATATTGGTTTTCATTTTTCTGGATAATTAATTATTTTCTTTTATTCACCAATGTCGATAGCTATTGTGGGCAATTTAGAAGTTGATTTCAATAATTTTCCATGATTCTTTGATTTTGAAGCCCAACACGCTCTACATAGTGGATTTGTGGTGATTCTCTCTCTCTCTCTCTCTCTCTCAAGATTTATATTTAATAGGTTCAATAACTTTTTCGTGGTGAGCACCAAACTTAGATTTTGAGATATATTTTTCATGTGAATGGGTTGTTATTTTGTGCTTTTATTGGTATATTAGTACAGGATTTTGGGGTTTTTAGTACCATTGTACACAAAGGGGTTTTCATTTGAACCTTTCTCACCTTTATTTCCCCCCTAATATTTAATGTACATTTGTAATCTCATCATATACCACCAGTTGAGTCCACGTGTGGAATGATTCATAATGGAATGATTTCCACTCACTCCTACCCCCTATCTTAGTTATATCTAAATACAATTTTGGTTTTTTTAATTGGTACAAATCTATTCAATTTCCATGGAATTCAAAACTTTACCAATAGAAGCATTTTCAAGTTGAGGCATGAGTTATAGATATAAAAGGTAAATTCATGACTTAATTTGTTTTATACTTACAGAAGTTGAGTTGGAATTTTTATTTACTAAGATTTCAAATTCATGATTAATGATTAATTTCAAGTTTTTATTCAAATTCAAATTCATGACTTAATTTCAAGTTTTTATTTACTTATAGAAGTTGTGTTAATGATTAATATTTGAATTTTTTTTTCCAATTAATTGGTTTTGAATTTCATAACTTAATTATTTAGATTTGTAATATCATCCAGTTTAATTTTTGATTAATCTCATTAACAAAAGTATTCTTATTTACATAGAATCCTCTAATTGGTTGTTTAGAATTTCATCATTATTAGTTAGTTTAACAGAGAAACCTTCTATTTGTTAGACTGCTTTCAATTTGATTTCCAAATTCTATTTTTTTTCATAGTGTAATGATTTAACTATGTTCATTGTGGAATCTAATCTCTATTTGTTCTTGGTATTATTGATTGGTAGGCTATTGATATTGACATAAAACAGTGCATCTTTAGCTTAAATTTTATATTATTAGTTTGGCATCTGCATATGTGTGTGGTTTTGATTGATTGCTTGAAATAGATGGTCTTGATCAAAAGAAACTAACACAATGCGTAGAAAAACATAGTGCAATAGCTTATATCTTTGTCAGATTAATTCAATTTAGTTAAATTAATAGTATTGGGTAATAGTAAAATGAATATATACTGTCTTTTGGGTTAAATAGGACATTTTCATGATTTCATTGTAAATTTTATCATTTTTACTTAAATAATCAAATGAAATTGGGAAGTTTGAACTAAAAAGTTTTGTGGATGGGGCCGTTTTGTTGAGTATTGGTCATTTGGGACATTTAATTTTGTTTTTGCATGTAACCTTTAATAATAATAATTTTAAATAAAAGAAGGAGAAACATTAAAATAATAATATTAAGCATAATATGGTAGTCTACTACGCTGTACATATATTATATAATATACATAGTGCTTGAAACAAAGATAGATATATTATATAATATATATTCATCACAGTCGGATAGACTACTACACTGTAGCTATATTATATAACATATATAGTGCATGAAACAAAGATAGATATATTATATAATATATATACATCACAGTGACAGAACGAGAGAGACGATGTAGAAAGCAGATCGAGAGAGACGATGCAAAGATGATGCAGAGAACAGAACGAGAGAGAGAGACACAGAAACAGAGTCGACTCAACTCGACAGAAAGAGAGAGAGAGACTGCGTACCTTGAAAACCCTAGTTCGTTGAAGAAGATTAGGCGACTGATTTGAAGTTGTTGGACTCTGATTTGAAGATCGACTTACATGGTATTTATAACTTATTCTTGAGCAATTTCTGTTTGAATCGAAGTCAATTTATAGCAATTTTTCCATCACCTGCTCTATCTTCCAAAACACTAACCAAAGGTATTGTGCTTTTGATACAAAAAGCAACATTAGGCCAAAATTTTGGATCAAACAACACAGTTGCACTAGCCTTTACCCCTTCAACCTTTCTTGCCCAACTACTAGAAGCCCACTTTTCTGAAGAAAACATAGCTTGGAGTGGTTGCTTTTGTTTGTAAAGACTTTGGAGAGTAAGATAAGCAGTGGCAAACCGTGTTACTGCTGGACGGAGTAGTTCACTGTTCTTTGTAAATGATCTCATCATTGAAAGAACCCAACAATGTCCATATATAAACTTGACCACTTGCCTAGATAACGAGAGAGTTTGGTCACAGACTTTCAATTTTCCAATGTCCTCCAACATTAAATCAATACAATGCGCAGCACATGGAGTCCAATACAACTTCTTCCTCTTCTCCATAAGTCTTGACCCGGCATTGACATAGTTTGAAGCATTATCAGTAATAACTTGAACAACATTATCTTCCCCAATTTCATCTACGACACTATCAAGATAGTTAAACATCAACTCCCCATTTTTTATAGTATCAGATGCATCAATTGATTTTAAAAACCAAGTTCCAGCAGGGCTATTCACAAGAAAATTAATAAGAACTCTACTTTTCCCATCTATCCAGCCATCTGACATAATTGAGCATCCATATTGTTTCCATGCTTTCTTATGTTCCTCCATCATGACATTTATATCCTTTACTTCTGCTTTAAGAATCCAAGTCCTCAATTCATGCATAGAAGGGGGTTTGAAACCAGGTCCATAATTTGCAATTCCATCAACTGCAGCTACTCAATACGGATCATTCACCAAATTAAATGGAAGAGCTTTACAATATATAAAACGCCCAATCTTTCAACACACATATTTTCTTTCTTCTTGTTTCCATTTGGAGTTCAATGTAGATTGTCGTGCTTGAGAACTAGAAAATTTATCCATTGGACCCCTCGGTTTCGGTGCTTGTGTCATACCACCAGTATCGCCTTCAATAGATTGAGAAGCACCACTCTCGCCCTTTGCTCCAGCACCCATCCCAATTTCATATAGCATCTCATTACGGGCACTTTTTTGCTCAAAGAAATTTTTTAATGCGTGTTGGCATTCCAACTTTACATCTTCAGGAACTTTTGAACACGGTTTAATGCCTTTATGTGTGCCGGCTAGATGATTTTTAAATCGACTTACAGTACCACTACAAGTTTGATCACAAAATTTACATCTAAAATACTTTTCCCCATCAACTTCTTTTACATACTTCCAGACAAAATCTTTTCTTTGGTCTTTGGGTTCAGTCATTTTTTTTTCCCCACAAACTTATCAACTGTAGCACTATACAAAAATAAACAAAAAAAAATTAAAAAAAAAAGATACTGGTTAGGTGGGATGGCAAAAAGAAAAAAAAAATATTAATATTAATAATAATAAATTATAGTCTATCAAAAAATAATAATAATAATAATAATTTTAAATAAAAGAAGGAGAAATATTAAAATAATAATATTAAGCATGATATGGTAATCTATTGTACATATATAATATATTATATAATAACATGTTAGTCCACTACATATATAATATACTATTTAATAACATTACACAGTACATATATAATATATTATATAATAACATGTTAGTCCACTACATATATAATATATTATTTAATAACATGGTAGTCCACTACACTGTACGCTTGAAACAAAGATATATATATTATATAATATATATCCATCACAGTCGGATAGAAATAGATAGACAGACCACTATACTACACTGTAGCTATATTATATAACATATATACTGCACAACAAAGATACATATATTATATAATATATATACATCACAGTGACAGAACGAGAGAGACGATGTAGAAAGCAGATCGACAGAGACGATGCAAAGAACAGAACGAGAGAGAGAGACAGAAACAGAGTCGACTCAACTCGACAGAAAGAGAGAGAGAGACTGCGTACCTTGAAAACCCTAGTTCGTTGAAGAAGATTAGGCGATTGATTTGAAGTTGTTGGACTCTGATTTGAAGATCGACTTACATGGTATTTATAACTTATTCTTGAGCAATTTCTGTTTGAATCGAAGTCAATTTATAGCAATTTTTCTATCACCTACTCTATCTTCTCTTTTTTGAATTTTGAAATTGAACTCTTCAAAGGCTTCCGCCTCGCTATCGAAAGCGTCAAAAGCGCATGAAGCCCGACAAAGGCTTACGCCTCTGATCTTGACGCGTATGCATAGCTGGGGTCTCGCCCCAAATAGAACGCATCTGTGCGTTTTCTGTACGCATCGCCTCAAGTCGCGCCTCGAATACGCCTTTGAAAACCTTGATTTTTGATTAACCTTATTAACAAAAGTATTCTTATTTACATAGAATCCTCTAATTGGTTGTTTAGAATTTCATCATTATTAGTTGGTTTAACAGAGAAGCCTTCTATTTGATTTCCAAATTCAATTTTTTTCATAGTGTAATGATTTAACTATGTTCATTGTGGAATCTAATCTCTATTTGTTCTTGGTATTATTGATTGGTTGGTTATTGATATTGACATAAAACAGTGCATTTTTAGCTTAAATTTTATATTATTAGTTTGGCATCTGCATGTGTGTGGTTTTGATTGATTGCTTGAAATAGATGGTTTGATTCTTGATCAAAAGAAAACATAGTGCAATAGCTCATATCTTTGTCAGATTGATTCAATTTAGTTAAATTAATAGTATTGGGTAATAGTAAAATGAATATATACTGTCTTTTGGGTATAAATAGGACAGTTTCATGATTTCATTGTAAATTTTATCATTTTTACTTGAATAATCAAATGAAATTGGGAAGTTTAAACTAAAAGTTTTGTGGATGGGGCTGTTTTGTTGGGTATTGCTCATTTGGGACATTTAATTTTGTTTTTGCATGTAACCTTTGTTATTAAGTGATTTTGAATAGAGCTTCAATAGAGTTGTTAATAGTTGTTGATTCACTTCCTCCCTCTCTCAACTAAATCTCAATTTGCTTCTTAATTTTTAATTTTTATACTGGTTTGGTTTTGGATTCAATTTGTGTGGAATTCAAAATATAAAATTTTTATTTTTTTAAGTTGAATTGAAGGTGTGAGATGTTGTGGTCATGACTGAAATTTGGTTTTGGAGTACTTGCCACCATTGACTGAATTTCATCATAACTTTTCTAGCATTTTCTACTACTTAATTGGTTTCATTTGTGGGTTTTGGATTATACAAGCGTGATTATGCTAATTACATTTTTTTTTTTACTTAAATACAGAATTATATTTGAACTATTATTTTTTCCCAAGTGGATTTGGCATAACTGGTAGTTTTGCCCTCTTTCCTAAATTGTGGAGTTTAAGTTTTTATCATTAAGTTGATCGTTAAATTGTAATTTGTGAACTTTATCATTTCTTCTTCCAAAATTTTCTTTGTTAACATCTAGGCGATGACACTAGATGTTCAATTCAAATATCAGTTCAGTTTTTAATTTGTAGTTCCTAATGTGCCATTATGGAGTAACAAGAAGATTTCAGAAAAATTATGGAGTAACAATCATTTGGGTGCTTTTTGAATGGCTAAGTTCTCTCTCTCTCTCTCTCTCTCTCATGTAACCCAACCACTGAAATCGAAGTTGGGTTGATGTTTATCAGATTGATACAGAGGAATTAACGATGTTGACATGCCCAATAGCCACTGCACCCACTTCGTCTTTCCTCTTTGCCGGTATGTACGCACTGCTTCCTCAAATGGCTCCTCTTAAAATACTACTCTCCACTCTTTAAAATTTTCTCTGATTTTTTTTTTCCTTTCCCCCTTCTATTGTTCATTTTCATCACTTGAATTACAGGCTGTTAGGTGATGGAATATACAAGTGGGTGACATGGATTGCACAACTGGGAGACAACGCGTATCTAACTTAAAAAGCCTTTTCTTTTTACTGTCATTCCTTCTTTAAATACTATAAATGCACACATATGTATGCGTATAATGTAATGGATAGAATGAATTTATTTAACGTGAATAGATCAAATGGTTCCATTTGAATGATATTTGTTTGTGAGATTTTAATTCCCTTTGAAAGATCAATTGGATTTGCAAATGAATCTTTTGATCTTTTTCAAGCATCATGCATTTATGGTTGTGTGCTATTGGCAATAAGAAATAATTAGATCTAAAATGCATATAGAGATGTTGAATCAAGTTTAAAGTGGGACTACACTTGAGGCTATACATATAGAATGCATGATTATTTATGTTTTGGTTTCAAATTAATTCATGAACTATATGTATTAAGTAAATCTCTCTTGATTTCATATTGTAATTACAAAGTAAAAGGATAAGGGAATTAAAATGATTGTAATTGTCTATATACACTATGACATGGAGTTTAACCTTGAATATGAAGAATTATTAATGGATTGAATAGATTATAACTACAATGTGGTGAATTTTTACCAGTATGGAAGTACTATATTAGTTTGTCTTAACTTTTATTTTTCATGAGTCAAAATGTATTAACTTGAATGTAAATTTTTTTTTTTTTAAAACTTAGAGAATGCCGTAGGCACGGATCATCCACTAGTTAATATATGTAACACCACCCTTAACCTGACAGTGTCCTTTTGAACTTAAACAAAAATCGCGTGAATCTATGGCCGGTTAAATATATAGAAAGGACTAACTGCTTGGCACCCTTCTTTTTATTGGGTTTTAGGTTTAGTGCTTTTCTTTTCTAGTAGAAGTCAAAAACTAAGATTAAATTTTTTTTTAAAAAAAAGTACATAGAAAATTGGAAGATGGATGATATAATGAAGGTAACTCGTTTGGGAACATGTTAATTTAGTAATTTTTTAGTTATTTGGCTAAAATATGAGCTAAAAAAAACTAGTATATTTGGGATAACTTTTTGGCTTTTTACGAAAAGATGTGCAAAAAGTAGAGAGAAAAGAGAATCTTTGATTTTTTGGTATGAATTGTTGGTTTTTTGGCTAATTTAGTAACTTTTTGACTTTTTGACTAAAAATGAGGACTCCCAAACGAGGCCTAAATTACACTTACCTCCTCTCAAAATTTTCAGCAATGACATGGACTTTTCTTATAGTTTTGATAATTATATTAACTTCTTCTATTTTTAAAAATAAATATAAAGATTTCCTGTGACCTCTCTTCTATAATCTTAAGTTGCCTCCACCATTCATCCTATTGTTTGGCCATTAAAATTATGATTAGCCATTAATTGATAATAAATTAGTCGTGCTTTCATAAATTCTCAAATAAACTCAAATTCAACTAGTACAAAATAATGAATAATTTTATATGTGTTGTATATACAAATACTAATAAATAAATACGATGAATAAAAAAAACCTTTTAATTTTATGAATTTTTGTAGTGCTTTTATGATTATTGTTATGTTTTTATCTATAAAATTGTACATGTGAGAACAACAAAGATAACTAAATACATGTGTATTCATATATATAGATAAATTTACATGGTTCAATATATAACAATTACGTATTCAGAACTCATTGCTACTCTTTAATTTTCAACTACTTCAAACTTAGACTATTAGCATTATGAGAGAGACTAACATTTTTACACAGATTTGCAGAGACTTGGTTGGCCTGGGGAAAGAGGTTGAATATGGAGTTTGTTTATATTGGATTTTTAAGTTGTTTAGAGTTTCTAAAGATAAAGGTCTTTTATCATTTTTAAGAAGAAAATATTAGAAGAAATCAATACTTCTCATATTAAGTGGGATATATGTTTTTGAATTTTGAAATTCAAATGTATAGATCTTTTTTTATGCATAGATCATTTTTATTTTTTTATGTTTTTAATTGAAATGATTTTCTATATTAGTTGGATGTTTAAAATTTTAAATTCAAATTTAAAGGATAATTAAAGTTTTTTTTTCCATTCAAATTTAAAGGATAATTAGAGTTTTTTTTTTTTTTAGTTGGGTTAACCAATAGAAAGTTTTTTAATTATTTAAAAATATGAAAATTCTAAAAATTCATGTTATAAGATTTACGTAAAAATGAATTAAGATTTACTTGTGATATTAAATTTGGGCTTAATATTAGATTTACGCCAACTTGTCATTCACCTAATCATTAAAAATTGTCTTGTTCTGTTCCTACCTTATAGGAATCATTTGACTTAGCTATTTATTAAGGCCAAGTTTGGCATATTGCAAAAAAATCAAAAAGCTAAAAAGTTACTCAAAAAGTTAAAAAGTTGACACTATTCACCAAAAGTAAACAATTACGGCTGCACAACTCTCAATCCTAATTTTTTCTTACAAATCAATTTTTACAATTTTTTATTACACATTTTTTCATAAAAAGTCAAAAAGTTAACCCAAACATCTATATTTTCTTCCTCAATTTTTTAGTCCAAAAAGACAAAAAATACGCTTATTTAGGACACCCCAAACAACCCCTAAATTAGTAAATATATATTTGTAATTATTTTTTTATAATAAAAATAAGAAATATGGACTTGTTTTATGCGTACTTGAGAGGGAGATTAATGATCTGAATTTGGAAAGGTGGAATTAGCCGGACAGATTGGGCCAAACGAGGTTGGGCCGAGGTATTTGGCTCCGAGATTGGGCCGTGATCTTGCTCGGTAATGGCAAAGGCCTTGTGGAACCAAGCTACCTGATTTCGTTGGCACGGAGACCGGGCAGGTTAAGGTTCAGTCAGGTAAAGGTTCCACAGCTCGCGCATTGCTCGGTTGTAATACACGCGCTCTCAGCCCGGCATGACCAAGTTGATCAACCTCCATCTCAGCTTCGTTGGAATGCAGTCGAGCACAGCTAGAAATGAGCCCGGTTGGAGGAGCATTACGCCGTCAAGTGCGCTTGGGCTTGAAGTGGAGTATGGCCATTAGTAGCCGAGATAATGTTGCCCGGCTGCCGAGCTCCCAGTAGAGTGGGCTGGCAATTGGGTTAGGTGATGCTCAGCAAGATTTGTGCTGACAGATGGGATAGCAGAACCACGTGTCGAGAGATCACTGGGAATAGATTTGGGGCGCAGAAGGTATATAAGCAAGTCTGCACCCCCATGTTGGAGACAAGACATTTTTGGTGAGATAAACACTAAACACAATTCTCTCCCTTCTCTCTATCTATCCCCTGGTGTGTGTTCTAACTTGACCGTCAGAGGGGTTTTCCGGCCACACACCGCCGGGTAGCTCACCGCCTTTGTGTACGCAGGTGATCGGATAAGAGCAGAGATTGGAAGAAGGGAGTACGGGCTTGCCTGAATATTTGCTCCCCATACAATTGGCGCCGTCTGTGGGAATCTTTACAGATAAAACCTTGTCTTCCAAGCTCATCCGATCTCTTTCTATGGCGAACAACGAAGAGATTCCGCTGTCCGCCATCGATGGAGCCACTCCGGAGTCAGGCAGACGGAGAGAGGGACACCCCACCATTACTCCGATGGGGGACTTGGAGACAGTCCCAGGAGGACAGTCGGGAGACGCGCGAGATAAGCGCGAAAGAAGTCATGGTCATTCACGGAGTCCAGACGGTCACCGGCGGAGGAGAGACTCACACGTTAGACGTCTGGAAAATAAGCTGAAGGACCAGGACGCCGTCATCTGGCGAATGGCGGCGGAGATGGAGGAGCTGAAGCGGCATGTCAAAGGGAAGGGTGTAGCTGGAGTGGGAGACCACAGTGAGCGCACCCAATCCTGCCGTTCAGGTAGTCAGAGTCAGCGGCACACACCGTCCATCTCTATTACCAGAAGTTACAAGGTTGGTGATTCCGATGTGCGCGCAGAGAAGTCCAGTGCGCAAGATAGCACTTACCAGCCCTCACGTCCGGCAACGACGTCGAGGTACACCTATTCCGCTCGATCAGAAGATTTTCAGGCAGTCTTGAAGGAACGGGCTCGCCGGCGGGAGGCACAGAAGATACCGGCTTTCCAGCGGTTATCCTACGGGGTTCACGCCAGCGAGGAGGTTGGAATGCCTCCACCCCGCCTAGCGGCACCATTCCTTGTGGATTCCGACTTGGCAAAGTTGAGCGCCACCCCTTTCTCCCAGGAAATAGAAACAACACCACTTCCGGCAGGCTTCCACCAGCCAAAGTTCACGCTTTACGACGGAAAAACCGATCCTTACATGCATGTAAGCCACTTCCAACAGGTCATGGCCGGACATAGGCGGAATGATGCTCTTATGTGCCTCATCTTTCCGTCACGTTTGGGCGAGCTGGGCTTGAAATGGTTCGAGCGGCTGCCAGAGGGGAGTATTGAGAGGTGGCATCAGTTGGCCGAAGCCTTTGTGACGCGCTTCAAAACCAACACTAAAACACCTAAAGAAGTTGATCACCTGCTGAGTGTCAAGATGGAGCCGAGCGATACATTGAAGGCATACAACTCCAGATATTGGGAGACTTTCAACGAGATCTTGGATTGTCCAGTCAACCTTGCCATCACTCAGTACAAGCGGGGCCTCCCGGTCGGACATAGACTGCGGGACTCACTTACCATGCACCAGCCGACGTCCATGGGCCAGCTAATGCAGCGCATCAATGAGCACATCCGAGTAGAGGATGATGCGTCAACATCTACCACGAAGGTGACTCCGGTGGCAACAGACAAGAGGTCAGCTGGCAAAGTGCACGCAGTTGGACAAGAGTCCAGCCGATCAAGTGACCGCGCTGAGGAATCGGACCGTGGCTCAAATTGCAAAAACCAGGGTAGGGGACGTCGGAATGACCGGGATGACCACCCCCAGGATGATGTGGCCGACGCAAACAGAAGATTGAAGGTCGGGACGGGCATTACCACGGTCTTCAAAATTCTGATCTATCGCATACTTAGTGAAATTTGTGATGAGGAGTACGTCCGATTTCCTGCTAAGTTGGGCGACGGTCAGAAGGGCTTCAATCTGCGGTACCGCTGCACGTTTCACCGAGAGCGCGGCCACCGGACAGAGGATTGTTTGCCTTTGAGGTAACACTTGGAAGAGTTAGTCGCAGCCGGACACCTGGACCTTTACATCGATGGAGGTGTTAAGGCGAATCAAGCTCCGGTTGATCCGCGGGGACTGGATGACC